GAAAATAATTTTATGGTTGGGGGGGTCACCACCACATGAGGTCACGGCTTTAGGAAGGTTGCGAACCACTGCTCTAGATTGAGAAATAAGATTCTGATAGAGAGTATAGCTTTCTTTTAAACAGACTTTCATTGGCAAATTTGCCAAATTAAATGTGCCAAAGCAGAGTAAAAAAAGATATATTTAACTCTTTGTGGCTCATGGGACATATGATGGCTGCCTACGTTTTTGCCTGGGGTTTAATGTGATCACTGTACACTGAGTATGGGCATGTTGCCGTCTGAGAATCTGAAGAAACAGGTCTCATACCATCGACTCGGCTCAGAGAAGTTGGGAAACATGTATCCTTCGAATTGATCAGGAGGGGCAGTCCCTGGAAAAGGACATCAGGCATGGTAAAGTAGAGGGTCAGCAAACAAGAGGAAGACTCTTAACGAGGTGGACTGACAGTGTCTCCAACAGTGGGCGGAACACAGCAACATTTGTGAGGATGGCATAGGACCAGCTACCATTTCAATGTACTTAATGGGCTACAAGGAATCAGAACTGATTCGACAATATCTAGCAGGGCAACAAAATGCTTTACTGCTCATTTCTAGCTTTTAAAAAGTAATAATTATTTTATGTTTATGTGTTTAATTTATTTATTATTCTTCCAGTTTAACATTTCCTATCAGCAATGACCACGCTATAGTGAGGTATATGAAAGTACAGAATGTACAAACCCAACTAACGCACTACACTGAGCAGATTCCATCGCATGGCTGCGACAGGGCAGAGGAGAACTGCCCCGTGGGCTTCCTAGGCTGTAAATCTCTATGGCAGCTGCATCTTTCTCCCTAGGAGTGGCTGATGGATTTGAAACGCTGACCTTGCGATTAGCAGCCCAACGTGTAACCCGCTACATTACCACGACCCTTGGTTTCAAAATCTTAGAAATGACATTAAAATGACTTTTTCCCCCCAGGTTACCTGTTCTTAACATAGAAGCAGAATAAAAAAATATGCAACTATAACCTGCACAATTGTAAGATCTCACTAAGTAGTGTAACAGATTTTCTGTCTGTATTTTATAAAAGTACTTTAAACACCCCCCCAAATCAAAACAAAACAAAAAGTACTTTAACAGCTACAAGGATTTCACTCATCTTTAGTGACTGAAATAACAATTTACAAATAGAGTATTTTCTCATATTGGCTAGTAGTTAACTTGTTTGCTGGCAGTCCCCCCGACACCCCAGGTGACCCTTTTCACCGGTAAGATGATCGTCTAGCTCCTGGTGTGAACAAGACAAAATCTTATGGTTTGGTGCTGGGCTTCCCTTGAGTACTTTGTAGGCCATTCATTATTTATCTAGTCATAAAAGTTATTTACGCTTCAGCAAACTGCAAGTTTTCTTTTGAGCCTGATTTATACTATTTACTCTTTTCCAACTTTCACCTGTGACGGCTATCATTGAAAATATACCTGTTCTTGAGCAGACATTTAAGGCGCAACGTTTGGCCTCTCACTAATCAGAGGAAAGAAGAGTGATACAAATCCAACGCTGTGGCAACAATTAATCCAATGGAAAACACCAGTCTCAATAACCCTGAGACCAGAAGAACTAGATGGTGCCTGGCTACTATGACCAACTTGACTGAAAGAATTACATTAGAAGGTCCTAGATAAAGAATGGAGAAAAATGTGGAACAAAACTCAAAATCATAAAGAGACCAGATCTATTAGATGGATAGAAACCGATGGGAAGCCCTTATTCACCCCTCAGATCTGGAACTCACCCCTGTGTTGGAATAATTAATCATTTCAGATCGAAATGGTAGCATTTGCCAAAGGAAAAAGTTCAGAGGGTTAGGAAAGAGACTAATAAGAACAAGAAACGCAGGGTGGAAATGGGGTAAGTGATGGTACATTGAGAGGATTGGAATGCATGAACTGAAACAAAATGTGCTTTACCTTTTAATGTAAAACTAATGAACTGCTGTGCAACCCTTTATCTAATACACAATAAATTTTTTTTAAAGAAAGAAAATACTGGTTCTTAGAGTTTCTGTTAAGTTTTACCAAATTTATCAGAAGGGGGAGAGTAGCAACACTAGCTACACATAGACTACTAGTCAGATATTACAATAACATTATATTAAATTTTACTGCACTTACCTACCTAGGGCCTGGTTTAAGGCCCTATATGCTTGAATTTCATACCACTGACGTCCAGGTAAAAGACCTCTCGATTTTGAATGTTCGTCATTGTATCGACGCTTTAGTTCAACCTAAATTTAAAAACATATAAAGAACATAGTAATTCGTCATAAAGACCATACTAACTTGGAATGTTTTAAATATCACATTATTAGGTAGAGAGAGCGCTACCCTTGAGTTGTCTCTGACTCCTAGCAACATTACGTATAACAGAAAAGGTTGCCTACTTGACAAAATTATAATTTATAAATTATCAAGGGTGAAGGAGGGAGGGAGGGTGGGGAAAAATGAGCTAATACCAAGGGCTCAAGTAGAAAGAAAATGTTTTGAGAATGATGATGGCAACAAATGTACACATGTGCTTGACCCAATAGATGTATGTATGTATTGTGATAAGACTTGTATGAGCCCCCAATAAAATGATTTAAAAAAGAAGAAGAAAATGTTGCCTCTCTTATGTCACCCTTGTATTGCTGGGATGTTCAAGTCCACTGTTCTGATTGTTGTTGGCTGTCTCACCAAGGGACTCCCGTACCCTGCTGCTGCTCTACTTCACCAAACATCCTCCAGCAATTAACCCTTCCTGACAATATGTCAAAAAGCAAGTGAACCAGACAATTTTTTTGTGAGCCATACGGTTTTTACTGACTAATATTTAGAAGCAGGTAGCCGGGCACTTCTACCTGGTCTGGAAACTGCTTTAACCTGTCCACTGTCGGTGATGCTGCTGGTATTTGAACTCGTAGCATGGCTTCCAGCACAGCAATAGAAACATACAAGTTACCACAGGATGACAAACTGACAAGTGGTGAGTTATTAGAGATTCTATTTTGCTTTTTAATACTGAAGGTTTTTCAGTTCATTAAAGACTTTTTTTCATTCTTACATTCCCTCATGCATGTAACTAATTAGCTGTGTGATTTGTTTTACTGATGTAACTCACATACATTAAATTTTTCATTGTGTAGAACAGCACAAGAATTCTGTTCTAATGGACCTAATGTCGGGGGTATAAATGGAGAGAAAATGTTTTGAGAAACGATGTACATATGCGCTTTAAAATGTGCTTTACACAATTGTTGTGTGTATGGATTGGGATAACAGTTGTATGAGCCCCTAATAAAATGTTAAAAAAGAAAAAAAAAAAAAGAATTCTGTTCTAACAACTGCTTCTTGGTCCATACAGTTTCTGCTTGAGCACAATCCAGTATTCTGGAACTCTCACTCTTTCAATATTATCCATAGTTTGTTATGTCTACACAGTTGTATGCTTTTGCATGGTCAATAAAATACAAGTACACCCCCTCAGGACCAATAATCAGGGTAGCGATACCAAGAGGGTAAGTGAAAGGTGAGGGAGGAACGTGGGAACTGATCACAATGATCTACATATACTCCCCTCCCTAGGGGACAGACAACAGAAAAGTGGGTGAAGTGTAAGACATGAAAAAATAATAATCATTTATAAATTATCAAGGGTTTGTGAGGGAGGGAGGGGGAAAAATGAGGAGCTGATACCAGGGGCTCAATTAGAAAGAAAATGTTTTGAAAATGATGATGGCAACAAATATACAAATGTGCTTGACACAATGGTTGGATGTATGGATTGTGATAAGAATTGCACGAGCCCCCAATAAAATGATTTAAAAAAATAGAAACAATAGTTCTCTGTGCTATCTCCAGAAACTGTCACAAGTAATTCCTTTCAGTAATACATTATCATAAAAAAAACACATAAATAAACATCTTCATTACTCTCTGCCTTCAGCCAAGATCAATCTGCTATCAGCAATAATAGCCTTGTTCGATATCCTCCTCTGAGTCCAGCTTGAATTACTGGCGGTTCCCTGTCAATATTCTGCTGCAACTGTTGTTCAATTATCTTCAGCAAAATTTTACTTGCATCTGATATTAATGACACTGATCTATAATTTGAGTGTTCTGTTGAGTCACTTTTCTTTGGAACAGGTACAAACTTGGGTCTCTTTTTGGACGGTTTGTCAGGTAGTTGTCCTCCAAATTTCTTGGCATACACAAGTGAAGCTTCCAGTGCTTCATCAGCTTGCTGAAACATTTCCATCGGTCTTCTGTCAATTCCTAGACCCTTCTGTTTCATTACTGCCTTTAGCGCAGCTTTGATTTCTTCCTTCAGTGCCATTGGTCATATGCTCCCTCCTGAAATGGTTGAATGTCAACCAGTTCTTTTTGGTACAGTGACTTGTGTATTCCTTCCATCTTCTTTTGATGCTTCCTCCTATCGCTCAATATTCTGCCCATGTTGTTGGCCGTCCAGTCAGTTCCAAACCACAGCAACCCTATGGACAACAGAAGAAAACACTGCCCAGTCCTGCATCACCCTCGCAATTGTTCCTATGCCCGAGTCCTTTGTTGCAGCCACTTTGTCGATCCATCTCGTTGGTGGCCCATCTTTTTTGCTGGCCCTCCACTTTACCAAGCATGTCATCTTTCTCCAGGAACTGGTTTCTCCTGACATGTCCAAAGTAAGGAGTAATATGGTCATATTTCTTCCAAGACAGATCGGTTTGTCCTTTGACAGTCCATGGTATTTTTAATATTCTTCTCCAGCACAATTCTAATGCATCTATTCTTCTTTGGTCTTTCTTATTCAATGTTCAACTTTCACATGCATATGAGGGAACTGAAAATACCATGGCTTGGGTCAGGCCCACCTTAGTCTTCAAAGTAAAACCCTGGCTTTTCAATACTCTAAAGAGGTCTTGTGCAGCAGATTTATCTAAATAAAACTCTTCTTTGGATCTCTTGATTGCTGCTATCATGAGCATTGATTGTGTATCTAAGCAAGACAAAATCCTGGACAACTTCAGCTATTCTATGTTTATCACAATGTTACCTATTGGTTCAGTTGTGAGTATTTGAGTCTGCTGACAAGGAGCTGAAGTCCATATTAAGGCTGCAACCCTTAATCTTCACACAAGCAAGTTCTCCAAGTCATTCTCACTTTCAGCAAGCAAGGTCGTGTCGTCAGCTAAGTGCAGGTTGTTAATAAGCCTTCCTTTAAACCTGTGGCTGCATTCCTCACTTAATCCAGCTTTTCTGATGATTTGCTCAGCATACAAATTGAATTCTTTTCAAGGTTTTCCATAGTTTGTTATGCCTTGTTATAATCAATAAAACACAAGTAAACATCTTTCTGGTATTCTCTTTCACCCAAGAGCCATCTGACATCAGCAATGATATCCCTTGTTCCATGTCCACTTCTGAATCTGGCTTGACCCTCTGACAGCTAATCAATGTACTGCTACAATAGCTGTTGGATGATCTTCAGCAAAGTTTTACTTGTATGTAATATTAGTGATATTGTTCTATAGTTTGAGCATTCTGTTGGGTCTCTTTTCCTTGTACAAATGTATACAAATATGGATGGATCTCTTCCAGTCAGTTGCCTAAGTAGCAACTGGCGTAGATGAATGAGTGCTTCCAGTGCTTCCTCAGCTTGCTGAAACATTTCAACTGGTATTTCATCAATTCCTGGAGCCTTGTTTATGCCTAATGCTTTCAGTACACACCTGAACTTCTTTCTGCAGCACCAGTGTTTGCTCATATACTACCTCCTGAAATGGTGGGATGTCAAAAACTAGTTCTTTCTGGTACAGTGACTATTCTTTTCACCTTCTTCTGGTATTTCTTGCATTCAATATTTTGCCCATAGAATCTTTCAATATTGTAACTTCAGGTCTTTCAGCTTAAGATATGCTAAGAGTGTTTTTCCTTTTGGGTTTTCTAACTCTAGCTTTTTACACATTTCATTAAAATATTTGACCTTGTCTTTTCAAGCTGCCCTTTGAAATTTCTATTTAGCTCTTTGATTTCATTTTTTCTTCCAGTTGCCTTAGTTACTCGATGATTAAGAGCATATTTCAGTCTTTTCTGACACCCATTTGATCTTTATTTTCCCTTGTCTTTTGAATGACCTTTTGCTTCCTTTATGAATGATACTGATGTCCTTCCACCGCTCATCAGATCTTCTGTCTTTAGTACTCAGTGAAATTTGTTCTTGAGATGTTCTTGAAATTCAGATGGGTTAGATTCATGGTCATAGTTTGGCTCTAATGGACATGTTTTAATTTCCTTCATCTTCAACCTGAATTTACATCTGAGCAACTGATGGTCTGTTCCACAGTCAGCTCCTGGCCTGGGTGTAGTTGTTGATATTGAGCTTTTCCATCTTCTCTTCCCACAGATTTAGACAGTTTGATTTTTTGTATTCCCTCTGGAGAAGGTCATGTGTATAATTGCTTTTTGTGTTGTTGAAAAAAAGTATTTGTTATGAACAAGTCGTTGGTCTTGCAAAATTCTATCATGAGATCTCTAGCTTTATTTCTGTTTCCAAAACTGTACTTTCCAACTATTTCTTCCTCTGTTTCCAACTTTTGAATTCCAATCACCAGTATCAATATATCTTGATTGCTTGTTTGATAAATTTCTGACTGTGACTGAAGTCATTGATAAAATTCTTCAACTTCTTAATGACTAGGTTAATGAATAGTAGTTGTATTAATTGGATGTCCTGAGAGGTGGACAGATATAATCCTATTACTTCATGATTGATTTGGTAATGTCCTTTTGAACAATGAACTCCGTTCCTTTTGATTGTGTTATTCCTGGCATAGCAAACCTTATGACTTTCTGATTCAAAAGGGCCAATATCCACCTATTTCAGCTCACTCGTGCCTAGAATATCAATTTTTATGTGTTCCAGTTCATTTTTGACCACTTCCAACTTTTCTAAGTTCATACTTTGCACAGTCCAAGTTCCGATCATCAGATTTTTGAAGCCATTTCTTACCTTCAGGCAAGTGCAGACCCCGAAGGCTCCGCTTGCACAGGCTGTACTCCATTCACATCGCCATGGTCGGTTCGGTTTTGAGAACGCAGCTCCTCCTCAGTCACATTTTGAGTGCCTTCTGACCCAGGGGCCCAGGCCCCAGCACTGGCCCCGGTAAGGCTCTGCTTCCATTCGTTAGGCCTTCAGTATCTGAAAACATTTTGAAGCTAAACATAAGATTTTCAGGAGCAACTTCATCTGAAG